AAAAGTGGTTTTTCTTAATCATGTATATTGAGAACATACAAAGCAGTGGAAAAATGAGCTCTAAGAATAAACAACATTTTTTAAAAAAATTAAAAGGTTTTTTAGCATATAAACATTGCACAAATTTACTCAAAATAAAAAAATACAGATTGACACAATGGGATAGGTTTCTTTATCATCAGATTGGCAAAGATCCAAATGTTAGAATATGCTGGCAAAGGTGTTGGGAAATAGTCATTCTCAGGCCTGTTGATAAACATTAATACAGCCTTTGTGAAAGGGAATTTATCACTGCCTGTTCGAAATTAAAATATACTCTTTGACATAATTCCTGGAGTTTATCCTATAGATGGACTCTCATGAGGATGTCTGGGACTATGTCTGGCACATAGTAAATACTTTATTAATTTGCTAAATGCATATGTACAAAGATACAAACATTAATATTTGAAACACTATTACTAATAGCAAAGACTAAAAAAAAAACTAAGTGCTCATTAATGGGGAACTGGTTAAAGAAATTGCAGATCGTGTATGTAACGGCATTTAAATGGTGGTTAAAAAGAATAAGGCTGATCTACATGAACTGAGATCAAACACAACAGTGGTCAACACTGTTTTGTTTACTTTTCTAAAAAGCAAGACACTGCATAGAACAGTGTAAACGCAACGTGGCCATTTGTAGTGGTGTCACTAGGGGGCTGTGGACCACACCAGGTGACACTGTCAGAAAGGGTGACACAAAAGTGCCTGTCTATAAAATTTTTTTGCAGTGTTAAAGCAGAAATTATTTTTTATAAAAATATGCTTGTATTAGTTACAACAAAAACATTTTTCATAAGCCCAGCTCAAATGTCTCAATATACCTACAAGGCTGAAATTCTTTATGTTAATTTACTTTTTGAACCTTCTAATGCACTAAGGTCAGAGCTGTCATTATCATCCAATTACAGTGATGCTTCAAACCACCTAGCATCGTCCGCGTGCACTGCAAGCACGCTACAAGCTGTTGTTTTGGTTGCTGCTGGTGTTTTTATAGTCACTGATTTTGTCAAATTTTCTGGTGGTTTGGCTTTCTGTGGCAATTAGTATTTGTGAACTCATCAATAACTTTTTGAGACTGAAGTAGTAATTAAAGGAAAAAAGGAGAAAAATCAAAAAGGCTTCCCTTCAGCTCCTAATCATGTGGTAATTCGAAGTAGATTTTACAGAATTTATTTAGTACTTGCTAAAGGGGCAAGGAGGCTGCATCTCCCGACCTCCTCTAACCCCACAAGAGGAAAACAGGAGCACCATCAATAGTCCAGCTGCCTCCCTCCAGCCCTTTCACCAACCGTTCCTCCCAAAGCACCCACCTCTCTCCTGGGTTCTATAATTCACTGCAGTGGCCACACAGAACTCACAGATTACAGAGTTTATTAGGGAAGCACCAGGCTAGAATTCAAGTTCAGGAAAAACGCTCAGTCTCTCTCCTAACAGTCTCTCACAGTCTCTCTCCCAACAGTGAGTGTCCCTCGGTGTCTCACTCAGCAATGCGTGTCTCTTTCAGCAGCACATCTTCCTCAACCAGCAGTCAGAGAGAGACTTCTGGCTCTAGGAGGCCTCCTTTTGAGCTTGGCAGAGTAGCCATACCAACCAATCATAACATCAGAATTCTAAGCACCTAAGAGAGAGTAAGCCTCCCAGAACATTGTGGTTGTGCCATGCCCAAGGGAAATACCCCAGGTGGACAACATTTATAATCAGGAGCTCCTCAGTTGCTCATTCCACCACTGAGTTTACAAAGACTTATGGGTAGAAAAGCCACACTAAGTAATTTACTACACTGCAGTACTCATATAATCTAAGAATTACTGCATTTAAACAATTTCTAAGTATATTTATAACATATTACTCTATGATTAAAATTGGCAACAAACATTATCAAGAATTCTGTATGGTCTAGTATGGGGGGGTGATGCCATTGGCTGTTTAAAGTTTTATGTATAAATACACATCTGCAAGAACATAATAGGACTGGTCTCTGGGTGGGAAGGGAACCTAAAAGACCAGGAGTTAGAAGAGGGAGGGAAGACTTACACTTTCTGTGAATGATTTTATTTTTAAACCTTTATTTTGAAGTAATTTTATATTCATCTAAAAATAATTTTAGAATTGCAAAAATAGTACAGAGTTCCCATATATCCTTCACCCAGCTGCTCCTAATGGATAAAAAAATCTTTTAAAAATAATCATATGAATGGTCTTTCAATGAATTTATTTATTTTTGAAGCTTAATCCATTTACTACCTTTTCTCCTGCCATTAATTTATGGGCCTAAACTAGCCTAAGACATTGCAGGTGACAAATTCCAAAAGTATCCTGTGTAAACTTCATTTCCATCCCTTACTCCTCCTCCATCTTCACTTTGGTTATTTATTATGCAGGTACATTTTCTAAGAAATCATGTACAATTAATTCATCAAAATACTAAGAGAAGCAAAAGGTTGATAGTGCATGCAGTACCCCAATTCCAATTTTTGAGTCTTTTGAATGTATCAATGTCAAATCAATTTACATCACAGTAAAATGAGTGAACAAAAAGTACTTTTCCTCATATTTTAACTAAGATAATTAGCTGTAAATACAAATGAAAAACACACTTGCAGGTGTTACTGAATTGTTAAAGTTGCTCTGGGCATCCCCCAACACTCAGCCACCTGTGTCCACCAAATTTAAAAAGACCCAAATCATGTATCTTTTCTATTTAAGCCAAAAGGCTTCAACTAGCCAGCTGTGAGTTTCATTTGGGAAACAGTTTTAGAATGTTTTAATTAGTTTTTGATATGAGATTTTGCAAAAATATCCAAATATTAAGATTTTCTTAAAATACTCCAAGATATGGTAACACTGTACACACATTCTAGCATAAATCCCCAGGGGAAACAGAATTTCATATAACGAAAGAGATCTGGATAGTGTAGTGGGCATGTCACATTCTTCCACCATTTGCAGAAATCTCACATCATGGAGCCCTGCCTCCCTTATTGTAAAAATCAGAACACAAATTCGAGCCTCCCTAACAGCTAGGATGCAAGCTCGCACTAGGTTCAGCCTATCAGACACACCCTCATAAGATAAAGACTCAGAAGAAAGCAACATAAAGTGTCACTTGCTGCAGGGCCTCCCCACACCTCACTCTTTTCTGCCCTACAGGGGCAGTGGCGGCTGAGTGTGCTGGGCTTTCTGAGAGCAGCGACTGCAGGTCAAGGGAAATGGGGAGACCTGAAGAGATAGAACAGCCCTGACAGTTTGCTCACAACTTTTCTGCATGATTTTGAGTACAGCGTCGAGCTGGTCCTCAAAACACCTCATTGTCATTTTAAAGAACTCCTTCCCCACTTAATCAGCCAGAGTCAGCTTCTGTGGTCTGTCTCCAGCGACAACCAGGTTAGCAGAACCTACCAAAGCTCCCTTACTTTAGGACACTACATTTTCCATATGAAATAGTTCTTGGTCTACTTGACTGTTTCCTGGTATGTATCAGCTTTTGACCCTGGAATAAACAGCTGAGACACACGGGCCAGCCATCTTGGTTCTCCACTGCAGGTCTCAGCCATCTATTTCAACAGCTCCTTGAGAGAAGCAGTCATAGAGACCTTGCTCCATCTTCAAGAGAAGGCACAACATATTTTAAGCATACCTGATCAAAAATGAATTACAGTGTTTGTTCCTTAGTAACAAAGTGATGACTATTCTCATTTTGAAGTTGATTAATGAACAAAATCAACTTTTTATAAAACAAGAGCCCATACCAGAAGTTGTAAACTGGTGACCAGTAGGGTAAACCTGGCCTGCAAGAGTTCTGTTTGCCTTACAACAGTTTTCACCTTTTTTTTTTTTTTGCTGCCAGAGATAAATTTTACATTCATACCTGTGATTGTTGCCTTCTCTTGGGGAATAAAATAATCTGGTAACAACAGGTCTGCATGCAACAATCTGCTGGAGAAGATACCCCCGTTTGGCAGGGCATATGTTTTTCAACTTGCAACTGATGATACCACCTCAGAAACCCAAGGAGGGGTTGCTGAGTCAGATGTGACTCGATGGCAGTACTGAGTACTGATATATAAACCAAAAACTCACAGCCGTCGAGTTGGATCCGACTCATAGCAACCCCTCCTTGGGTTTCTGAAGTGATATCTCTACGAGAGTAGATTGCCCAATCTTCCTTCCAAGAAGTGGCTGGTGGATTTGAACCACCAGCCTTCTGGTTAGCAGTCAAATGCCTTAAGCACTATATGCCACCCAAGCTCTGAACCGACTTGACGACAGTGAGTACTGGTATATACTCACACGTTAAATTTCTACTTTTAATTTTGTTGTATATATTGAAAGTAGAGAAGACTACCTGCCATTTCATGAAAATAAGTACACAAATAAAAAACCTTACATTTAAACTTCTATAAAATCCTGTAATAAAACAGACTAAACCAAAGTAGAAAAGGCAAAATGAAAGGATGAGAGGACGTTGGGACTTGGATTTAAAGATTTTATATTAATTCAAAATGTTTAACTGACTAACACTTCCCAAATGATTAAAACAAGTTACATATTAAAACATTTATTTCAAATAGTCTATCATTTCTGTAGAAATCAGACCCAAAGATATTGTACTAAACAATAAACACCTTTAAACATATCACCTGTGATCAATTCGGTAAGACTAAGTTTGTACATCCCAATTCCAGTCATAAAATGTACCATTTGAAGAGCTCTTTCGGGAAGGCAGTAACAAGTGGATGATCTGCAGTTTAAAACACAAAATCCTGTCCCTTACATTACAAGCAATGGGTTCAAGACACCCTCCAAATGCTGCAAACAAGAGGTTCTCAGAAACAATATTACAGCTCATTAGTAAGTAAAAGTCATCCAGTAAATTCCAACAAAAAGCTCCTCATATAAAAGGATCCCACGTATTGACAGGTTCCATAGAATCCCAGCCTCTTCCTCACATTACTGAAAAGTGTAAATAAATAAATCTTTGAGGTATTATGGCAATCCATAGCTCTCGGCGGGTCAGACGATGCCTGCCATCTCAGTACTGAGGAAACATCTCATCAATTTTGGCAGCCCACGCCATGAGGCCCCCCACAACATCCTGAACTGTCAGAGAGTCTAACTGCCGGGCCGCTGTTAAGGACTGCAGGATCTTCACGGCTTTCTGGGAGTCATTTCCCAGTTTGCAAATCACATAAATGGGGAGCGCTGTCCCTTCCTGCGTGTCCTGCTTTCCTCCCCCGATTGCTTCTCTTAAGAGCTTCAGGCTCTCCGCATCCCTCCGTTCCAACTGTTTCAACGGGATGTGTAGGGCATGAGACAAACGGCAGATGTCCACCTCCACTTGAGGCCTGACATCCAGCAACAGGTGGGGTACCCCAGAATCCAGAAGTCGCTTATAGTCGGTGACAGAAACCCGCTCTTTTGGGCTCAGCAGACGCAGGGAGCGACACTTATCGGTGGCTGAGGAGCCACAGAAGGCTTCGTAGTCCTGCAGGTCAGTTACAGTGGGCTGCTCCCCACAAGCTGCGCAGTCGGGCCTGCGCTTCCGCAGCTGAATACAGCGGAAACGCCCTCTGAGGGCATCGAACAGCAACAAGCTGCCACTGTAAGAGGGGCCCAGACCCGCGGCGATCTTCAGCACTTCCAGCGCCTGCAGGCAGCCCAGCACCCCGGTGACGACACCGAGCACCCCACCATCCGCGCAGTTGGTCACTGTCTCCGCTGGGGGTGGCTGGGGAAAGACGCAGCGATAGCAAGGCCCGCCGTCATAGTGGTAGACTGTAATTTGGCCCTCGAAGCGCAGGGCGCTGGCCGACACCAGAGGCCGACCAGCCAACACACACGCGTCGTTAACCAGGTAGCGAGTAGGCACGTTGTCCGAGCAGTCGGCCACCACGTCATAGCGGCGGACCAGGTCTAACGCCGTGGCTGGCGTAAGAGCCTGTGCGTAAGGCACGCACTCCACAGCCGAGTTGAGGCGCCGCAAAGAGGCGGCCGCTGAAAACGCCTTGGCCTGCCCGGCCAGAGCCTCGCTATGCAGCACTTGGCGGGCCAGGTTGCTCATCTCCACTACGTCATAGTCGAGCAGTCCAATGCGGCCCACGCCGGCCGCTGCCAGGTACTGCGCCAGTGGGCAGCCTAGCCCACCACAGCCCACGACCAGCACTGACGCGGTCACTAGGCGCAGCTGTCCGTGCACGCCCAATTCGGGTAACACGAGCTGCCGGCTGTATCGCAGAATCTCGTCCCGGGATAGGGCGGCCTTCTGCGGGAGCGGTGACACCGGAACCAGCCGTTCTGGCACAGATTCTTGCTCCTCCGAAAGAGCTGCCGCCAACCTCTGCTTCAGGCAACGTAACTCCTCCTCACGCTGGGCAACTTCTGCCTTCAAAGCGAGTACCTCCTCACTGGTAGCCATGGCTGCCACTTCCAGAAGTTGTCGTGAAAGGCATTTCCGTTTCCGGCTTGCCGTCTCCTAGCAACTGGAATAAACTAAAATACTTTATGGCGCTTGGAAAAGAGTGATGAATATGTAGATTTCATGAAATAGCCTTGAATATTTTACTTTGAAGATCAGTATATCCTTAGGACTTTCAATAATATACAGAAAGCATTAGAAGAACGAAATCATCCCTTTCTTCCCGTATTTGGTACGGCCCGACGTGTCCACTTTCCGCATCGCGTTTACGTCATTCCGCTTCCGGCAGCTCGCGCAGGTCCGTCATGGCGTCTGTAGAAGTCAGTCGTAGCCTACACAGGTCTCGCTGGGATCAGGAGGGGCAAGCCCCGCGGCAGGACAAGTTTTCGGTGCTTTTACCCACCTACAACGAGCGCGAGAACCTGCCGCTCATCGTGTGGCTGCTGGTGAAAAGCTTCACTGAGAGGTAGCGCTCCTGGCCGCCAGCCCCGAGATGAGCTGAGCTGGCTCCCCTGGTCTGAGTGTCAGCCGTTGGCTGCGCGAGGCGGCCCTACCGGGCCTCTTCTCGGCTTCTGTAGGAAGCCTCGGGGAGAAGGCTACCCTGCGTGGAAAATGGGTTGATACATTTCTGTTTTGTCCGTGACCTGAGTCTCATATCTGACCTTGGATTTTGTGAAACATGCCTTAATTATAAACGATCTCCTCTAACCGCCTGCTGTCACTTTTTTTTTTTTTTTCTTTTTCTTTCCCTTAAATGAGCCGGGAGTTCTTTTAACTTGGTAGCAAGGCTGAAAGCCTGACCTCATTCCTCCCTCTAGGCTGTCAAGATCTGCAGCAGGCTTCTGAGAGCCCTCACGCCCCGCCCGGGTCTGAGCGCTTATGTAAGAATGAGGTTTGGTTTGTGTGGGTCGGAGGTGTTGCTGGGCAGAATAACCTTTTTGGAGAAGAGAGAGCATAAGGGTTTCTGCGCAGATCACATCAGCTGGAATGTGGGTGTTTGGTGTGGTTGATAAAAACTGGGGTGGGGGGTGTTGGAGTTTGGGTTTGTGTTGTATAGTTTTTAGGAGACTTCAGAAAATTATGTATCAATATGAAGTAAGTTGTTATAAGGTTACACAAGTAGGTTCATACTGTTCATGTCATTGAAGATCTTTAGATTTCAGCGCATACAAGCAGCAAATTCATTTGAAAGTTCGGTGATCCTTTGTAGCCATGTTGTCTAGGTACCAGGTCATGCAGTGAACACGTTTCAAGAGTGTTTTGTTTTGGGGAGTTTGCTTTACAAATAAAAATAACGACTTCCCACCTTATTTCAGCGTTTAGAAAAGTACTAGATACATAGTGCTTCTTTACTGAAATGAATCTTGGAACAAACACACTCATGCTTTTGCTAGTGTACTCAAAACCCACTGCCATCAAGCAGACTCCAACTCAGCGACCCTACAGGTCAGAGTAGAACTGCCACATGGGTTTCCAAGGCTGTAAATCTTTACGAAGGGAGACTGCCACAGCTTTCTCCTCAGGAGTGGCTGGTGAGTTCCCACCCCTGACCTTTTGGTTAGGTATGGAATTATTTAATTACTGCTGCACTAAAGCTCCTTTTTTTTTTTTTTGAAATATGCTAAGAGTAAATTCCTGGCAGTGGATTTACTGGGTCAACAGAGATGTGCTTAAAAGTGACGGTTACTGCCAAATTGCTCTAAAGAAAGATTGTACCACCTTAGACTCTGCAACAAGCTTAAAGAGTGCCTGTTTACCCACCAACTGGCCAATCTGAGTATTAACTAAACTTAGTTTTTTGGAAATAATTGGCGAAAAATACTATCGCTGTTTATTTGCATTTCTTTGAGTGAGATATTTCTCTTCATGTACATGACTCCTTAAAGTTTTCTTTTCTCATCAGATCCATCTTTTTCTGTTTATGTTTTGATTTCTACAAGCTACTTGGGGAAAATAATTCACATAGAGCTCTGGTGGCGTAGTGCCTGAGGCATTTGACTGCTAACCAGAAGGCTGGCGGTTCAAACCTACCAGTCACTCCTCAGAAGGAAGCTTGGGCAATCTACTTCTGTAGAGATACCTCCTCGGAAACCCAAGGAGGGGTCACTGTGAGTCGGGTCCAACTTGACGGCAGGGCAGTGTGTTTGTGTTTATTTTGGTATCTTACTTCATTTTGTCTTCTGATTTTATATTTTTGGTCTTTTTTTTTTATGTTCTGCAATTTTGTCTTTTAATGGTTCTGAGTATTTTTAATAAAAATGAAATTTAATAGACGAAACGTAAACATTTTCTTTGAACGCGTAGTAAAATTATTTAAAGTCAGCTCAACTTCTTTAAGCTACTTCACCCTCAGGTGCAGTGGGTGCTTTGAAATTGAGATGGGGAGTAGTTTTGTTTATGAATGACCCCGTTTTGCTTATGAGTTGTATCTCCTTTTATAAAAGACACATTAATTAGAATTGTCATTTGTGTTTTCTTTTATAAAGCACTGTGTCCAATTTGAAGGTATAATAGGAAACTGAAGTCATTTTATCTACTGTCTTCCAAGTTCACTGGGTGATTTTTTTAAAACCTTTAACAGTGGAATATGTTTTCTAGTTGAGTTTCTTGTATATGTTTCTTAAAGTAGGACCAAGAGAAAACAAAATGCTGTATTGTGTGGTGTGGCTATGCCTTTTTTCTTTCCCCTCAAGTTTCCTGATAAAAGTTAACAAAAAGATTGCCTCCCCTTTTTTAAATTAGCCATAATGATGGCGATCAGATGTATATCTGTGTAATATTAATCTACCAGGTAGTGTTCAGGAGCTGTGGTAGCGTAGTGCCTAAGGCACTTGACTGCTAACCAAAAGGCTGGCGGTTCAAACCCACCAGCCACTCCTTGGAAGGAAGATGGGGCAATCTACTTCCATGGTGATACTGCCTGGGAAACCCAAGGAGGGGTCGCTATGAGTCAGGTCTGACTCAACGGCACATAACAACAACAACAACAACAGGTAGTGTTTGCTGGCACTCTTAGAGTAGAAATGATCACGTGAAGTTATTGGAAAGTAAGAAAGCAAACTGCAGTTGCCATCAAGTTGATTCTGACTCATGGCAACCACACATGTGCAGAATAGAACTGCACTCCATCAGGTTTTCAAGGCTGTTACCTTTTAGAAGCCTTTTTTCCTACGTGCCTTTGGATGGGTTCGAACTACCAACCTTGACTTAACCTTTTCAAGACTGAATTATTTTCTGCTTTCAATTTTTTGTTCAACCCATGTGTTTTTGGTAATGAAAGGAATTTGAATGAGAGGGAAAATTTTTTTTTAGATAATATACATTTTGATACAATTAGTGGGATACATATGTCCCAAGAGATTTCTGGTGCTGGAGTTGGTGGGATGAGGCCCATTTCTTTAGATTCATGAAGTAATGTAGGCCCTCACTAGATGGCAGTATAAATGACAGCTATATACATGGACCTCACCAGATGGAACACACAGAAATCAAATCAACTGCATCTGTGGAAAGAGGTAGTGGAGCTCAGTATCATCAGTCAGAACAAGGCCAGGAACTGACTGTTGAACAGACCATCAGTTGCTCATATGCAAGTTCAAGTTGAAGCTGACGAAAATTAAAACAAGTCCATGACAGCCAAAATAAGACCTTAATTGTATCCCACCTAAATTCAGAGACCATTTGAAGAATAGATTTAATGCACTGACCGCTAATGACTGAAGGCCAGGCAAGTTATGGGATGATGTCAAGAACATCATACCTGAAGAAAACAAAACGTAATTAAAAAGACAGGAAGCAAGGAAAAGACCAAACTGGATGTTAGAACAAAAATGATCAGAATTACTGGTTGGATAGAGACTAATGGAACCCCCAAGACTATGGCCCCAGGTTATCCTTCAGTCCTGAAACTGGACTCACTTCTGTGGATTAGCTCTTAACCAAACAGTAGAAAGACCTACAGCAGAACACCTACCCCAAGGAGATACACCTACCCACCCTAGGGAGATGTACCCTTTAGTTCAGTTAACCATGAGACATCAGAAGGGCAGCATTTGCATAGAGGGAAAGCTGGACAGAAGAGTTCGTAGATAAGAAGGGCAAAGGAAAAGAGTAGTTACGAGGGGGAGATTGGAGGAGAGTTTTTTATTGGGATTGTAATTGGGGCCATGAAACCAAATGTGCATGAACTGTTTGTTGAGAGTAAAACTAATCTCCTTTGTAAATTTGCACCCAAGTCACAATTTAAAAAAAAGGATGTCAGAAGAGACTCTGAAACGTAAATGGAGAGGAGTTAAAATGAATGGAAGAAATGATGACGTGGGAGCTGAACAGAAGATTTCAAAGGGCAGCTCCAGAAGACAAAGTAAAGTGTTACATGTAACGAGATGTGCAGAGATGAGGTAGAAGATGCAAAGGGAAGAGCACCGTTAGCATTTCTCAAGCTGAAAGAACTGAAGAAAATACTCAAGCCTCAAATTGCAATATTGAAGGATTCAATAGGTAAAATATTGAACAATGCAGGAAGTATCAAAATAAGATGGAATGAAAACACAATTACTGTGCCAAAAAGAACTGATCAGTGTTCAGCAATTTCAGGAGGTAGCATGTGACCAAGAATCAGTGGTATTGAAGGAAGAAGTCTAAGCTGCACTGAAGGAATTGGCAAAAGCAGGGCTCCAGGCATTGACAGAATACCCATTGAAATGTTTTAGCAAACAGATACAGTGCTAGAGGCACTTACTCATTTATGCCAAAAAATTTGAAAGAAAGATACCTGGCCAACTGACTGGAAGAGATTGGTGCTTGTGCCCATCTGAAAAAAAAGGTGATGCAACAGGATGTGGAAATTGTCAAACAGTATCATTAATAATATCACACACAAGTGAAATTTTGCTCGAGATTATTCAAAAATGGTTACAGCAGTGTATTGACAGGGACCTTCCAGAAATTCAAGCTGGATTCAGAAGAGGATGTGGAATGAGGGATATCATTGTTGACGTCAGATGGATCTTGGCTAACAGCAAAGAATACCAGAAAGGTGTTTACCTGTGTTTTATTGACTATACGAAGACGTTCATCTGTGTGGATCATAACAAATTATGAATAACATTGCAAAGAATGGGAATTCCAGGACACTTAATTGTGCTTATGAGAAATCTGTACGTAGTCCAAGAGACTGCCATTCAAATAGAACAAGGGGATACTGCATGGTTTAATATCAGGAAGGGTGTGTGTCAAGGGTTGGATCCTTTCACTGTACTTATTCAATCTGTATGCTGAGCAAATAATCCAAGAGGCTGGACTATATGTAGAAGAACACGGCATCAGGATTGGAGGAAGACTAGTTAACAATTTGCAATATGCAGATGACACAGTCTTGCTTACAAAGTGAAGAAGACTAGAAACACTTACTGATGAAGATCAAAGACTATAGTCTTCAATATGAATTATAGCTCAACATAAATAAAACAAAAATCCCATAACTGGTCCAGTAAGGAACATCACAATAAGTGGGGAAAAGATTGAAGTTGTCAGGGATTTGATTTTAATTGGATCCACAGTCAACACCTGTGGAAGCCGCAGTCTGGAAATCAGATGATACATTGCAGCGGGAAAGGCACTAGGGTGGCACTGTGGTTAAAACATTCGGCTGCAAACCAAAAGGTTCGTGGTTTGAACGTAGCAGCCACTCCACGGAAGAAAGTTGAGGCAGTCTGCTTCCATAAAGGTTTACAGCCTTGAAAATCCAGTTGTTGTTGTTATGTGCCATCAAGTTGGACTGACTCATAGCGACCCCTCCTTGGGTTTCCGAGGCTGTATCCACTATGGAAGTATATTGCCCAACATTCTTTTGGAGGAGTGGCTGGTAGGTTTGAATCGCCAGCCTTCTGGTTAGCAGTCAAGTGCCTTAGGCACTAGGCTACCAGAGCTCTTTGTTATGTAAATCCTATGGGGCAGTTATATTCTGCCCTGTAGGGTTGCTGTGAGTTGGATTTGACTTGATGGTGGTGGATTTGCTTTGGGTATTGTATTTGGCAAATCTGCTGCAAAAGACCTCTTCAAAGTGTTCAGAAACAAAGATGTCACTTTGAAGACTAAGGTGTGCCTGACCCAAGCCATTGTCTTTTCAATAGCTTCATATACATGGGAAAATTGGACAGTGGCTATGAAAGAAAACCAAAAAAAGAACTAAACTCACTCCCATCAAGTCGATTCCAACTCATAATGACCCCTTTTGGGTTTCCAAGGTGGTAAATTTTATGGAAGTAGATTGCCCCATCCTCTTTCTGCAGAACAACTGGTGGGTTTGAACTTCCACCTTTCTGGTTAACAGTCAAAATGCCTTAGGCACTGTGCCACCAGAGTTCCTTGGATAAGGAAGACTAGAGAAGAAATGTTTCATTTGAATTACAGTGTTGGCTAAGAATACTGAGTACACCATGAACTGCCGGTAGAACGAACAGATCTTTCCTAGAAGAAGCACAGCCAGAATGCTCCGGAGAGGTGAGAATGGCCAGACTTTGTCTCACCTACTTTGGTCACGTTGTCAGAAGGGACCAGTCCATGGAGAAGGGTATATGGATGGTAAAGTAGAAGGTCAGCAAAAAAAAAAAAGGGGGTGGTAAGAACCCACAACGAGATGGATTGACACAGTGGCTGCAATGATGGGCTCAAGCTACCAAGGATTGTGAAGGCGGTGCAGGACCTGGCAGTGTTTTGTTACATTGTACATAGGGGTCAGAACTGACTGGACAGCACCTAACAACAACAGATGGCAGCACACACTAAAAGTGGGGTAACTGTTTCCCACTAAACCCCAGAGGCAGGAAATACAGGTAGATAGGTAGTCATGAATTAATAGCGCATAACTGTGCAGCCCAGGGATTCCAGAAAATAATAGATGCATTAATTTTGTAGTTCTGTGAAATCTCTTGTAGTTCTGTGCTTTTTCATTTGATACTGTGGGATGATAGGATAATTATTGAAATAGTGTTTTAGGAGATTGATTTAAGACACCATTCTAAGTTTTTTGTTCTTTTTTAAAATAGGATGAAATTAAATCAGATTTTATTCCTGGCTACTATTGAAATCTATTTGGGATTAAATTTAAAAGAATAATTACTTAGAGTGACTTAATCCATTTTGAGTCACTTTTTGTTAGTACTTTTGAAATATATAACTAAGATCTGATATTAAGGTTTCATAGTTCAATTTCATTTCCAGAGCTATTAAATAAAATTTTTTATCACCATATATCAGTGTATATTATACACGTGTATTTTAGAGTGTCTTTTCTTTATGAGAGCATTTCGATATCAGCTATCTGACAATAGCATTTTCTAGCAACATGCCGAGTTTTGGGGTGAAGTACTAAATACTTGGCATTTCTTATTTCCTTTGATAATTGAAGTTTTCTTTAGCAACTAATATGGCAATAAATTTCCACTTGTGAGGAATCAGCAATTTTAGAATTGTTATTTTTTATATCTTCTTGTTGTTAAGAATACAAAGCAAAACACCAATCCAAACATTTCCCCATTTGTTGTTGTTATGTGCCGTCAAGTCAGCTCTCAAACTCATAGCAACCCCTCCTTGGGTTGCCTAGGAGGTATCACTACGGAAGTAGATTGCCCAGCCTTCCTTCCCAGGAGTGGCTGGTGGGGATGAACTGCCAGCCTTCTGGTTAGCAGTCCGGTGCCTTAGGCACTAAGCCACCAGAGCACCGGTTCCATTTAGTGCCATTGATTACATTCTTCAAGATGTGCGACCATTTTCACTTCCTTTTCTGAGTTGTTCCTCCATTAACATAACCTCACTGCCCTCTAAGGTTCCTTTCTAACCTTTCCAGTTGCTGTTGTCGCTTAGATCCCATAGAGATAGTTCTTGAAAGAGCACAGTGCTCACGGCAGTTATTTTTTACTGTTGTTGTTCTTGTTAGGTGCCATTGAGTTGATTTCAGTCCATCCTGACTGCCTGTAGAACAGAAGGAAACAACTGCCCAGCCATGTGCCATCCTGACAGTCATTGCTATGCTTGTGCCTATTGTAGCAGCCACTGTGTCAATCCATCCTGTTGAGGCTCTGCCCTTTTTTGCTGACCCTCTGCTTTACCAAGTACGATACCCTTCTCCAAAAATAGTCCATCTCCTGCTAACATCACCAAAGTACTAGAGAGGAAGTCTGACTATCTTCGCTTCTAAAGGGTATTTCATCTGTACTTCCTCCAAGACAGATTTGTTCATTCTTCTGGTAGCCTACGGTATTTTCAATATTTTTTGCCAACACCATAATTCAAATGCATCATTTTTTCTGTGGTCTGTACTCATTGTCCAGCTTTCACATGCATATGAAGCTGTTGAAAAGACAGTGGCTTGGGTCAGGCGCACCTTAGTCTCCATAGTGACATCTTTGCTTTTTGAACCTTTAAAAGAGGTCTTTTTCAGCAGATTTGTCCAATGCAATACCCAAACCAAGCCCACTGCCATCAAGTCAAATCCAACTCATAGCAGCCCTACAGGACAGAGTATAACTGCCCCACAGGATTTCCAAGGCTATGAATCTTTATGGAAGCAGACTGCTTCATCTTTGTCCTGTGGAACAGTTTGTGGGTTCGAACCACCAACCTTTGGTTAGAAGCTGAATGTTTTAACCACAGTGCCACCCAAGCACCTTTCCTAGTGCAGTACATCATCTGATTTCTTGACTGCTGCTTCTATGGGTGTTGATTGTAGATCCAGCTAAAATCCCTGACAACTCCAATCTTTTTTCCATTTATCATGATGTTGCTTACTGATCCAGTTGTGAGGATTTTTGTTTTCTTTATGTTGAGGTGTAATCCGTAGTGTGGCTGTAGTCTTTGATCTTCATCGGCAAGTGCTTCAGGTCTTCTTCACTTTCAGCAAGAAAGGTCGTGTCATCTGCTTATCACAGGTTGTTGGTGAGTCTTCCTCCTCTCTGGATACAGACTAGCTTCTTGGATTATTTGCTTGGCATACAGATTGAATACGTTTGGTGGAAAAGATACAACCCTGACACATATATTTCCCAATTTTAAACCACGTAGTATCCCCTTGTTCTGTTCAAGCAACTGCCTCTTGGTCTGTGTGTACAGGCTCTTCATGAGCACAATTAAGTGTTCTGGAGTTCCCGTTCTTCCCAATATTATCGATAATTTTTTATGATCCATACAGTCACAGTCAACTGTCTTTGCATAGTGCATAAAGCGTACGTAGGTAAACACACCTTTCTGGTATTCTATTTTCTTAGTTCAGCTAAACTGTTGTTTGGTTTTAAGGAGACTTTTGGGAATATTTTTGATTTAAGGTGTAAAGATTATTTCATGGCAATAGTTAACAGGAGTTCATCCAGCCTTCATGGCTCCAGGAAGTCTGAAGTCCATGAGAATTTGAAATTGTGTTCTGCATAAAATTGTTATTTTTGAGTTTGAGAACACTGTCTTCAAATGTTAAACTTAATTTTTAATTTTTTTAAATTGTAGTGGAATCAACTATGAAATTATAGTCATAGATGATGGAAGCCCAGATGGAACAAGGGAAGTTGCTGAACAATTGGAGAAGATCTACGGGTCAGACAAAATTGTAAGTTATATGAACCTTTCTGTGTCTCATCAATTATGTTTATTCTATGTACAGGAAATACAAGAAATAAACAATGTTTTAATATATTTGTCTTGTTGTTGTTGTTTGCCATCGAGTCGGCCCCGACTCATAGCGACCCCTCCTTGGGTTTCCGAGGCAGTATCACTACGGAAGTAGGAATGCCCAACCTTCTTTCTGAGGAGTGGCTGGTGGGTTTGAACCACCAGCCTTCAGGTTAGCAGTCAAGTGCCTTAGCCACTATTTGTCTAGGAGCATAAAAGATGAAGAACAACTTTATGAATAGACTTGGTTTACATTCATTTTCATTTTGCTTGAGGTTTTACATGCTTTTGGTGTATTGGGTCACTGGTAATTTATGGCAACAGTGAACCTTTATATGAATTTTTTTTTATGACTGAGTCTCATAAATTTTCTGGATGGGTACAATTAAAGCACGATACTGAATTGACTGGGAATATCATGGAACCAAGTTGCAAACAGTAGTGTGTGTCTTTGTTAATCTTCATCATTTTCTTTCTCTAAGCAACTAACAGCTTATATCTGGATATGATTGCTGTTTGTTTTCACATCATGTTAGAAAGTCATCATATCAAAATGTGTTGTACCCTAAAACTCAGATTCAAATATGGTACCTTTTTTGTGGGTAAATGTTTTGGAACTTTATTTATCCTCCTGTTGTTTATAACTTTTCAGAGCACTTAGCATTTTTGTTTTTATTTTTGTCTATATAACAGTGTTGTGGAAGTAGAATGACTTCTGACTGTCTGACTCCTGCTTTTCCCCCTGTATCTTCAGGTTGTTGAAGTAACACAGAAATAACCTAGGCAAATGTACAGTTAACTTTATGATGGCTTTGTAAATTTTATTTTTAATCACTGGTTTGGATTTATTAAGAACATAGAAGCTTACCTCAGTTTAACTCATAAATGTTTGAATATACTTATGAGTTCTACTTTGGATAATTCTTGGACCAAAAGCATGTGATTAAGTACAGATTTGATTAGAAAACACATTCTACACATAGGGTAGATTTGTAGTATGTACAGATGGGGGGTTCTCAGCCCTGGTACTACTGACTTTTCGGGGTTTCTCAGCCTTGGTACTACTGACATTTCAGGGCCTAGATGACTTTGTTGTGAGGAGAGGTCCTGTGCACTGTTGCATGTTTTGCCACATCCCTTGCCTCTACTCAGTAGCAGCCCCTCTCCACAGTGCAGCAACCAAAAATGTCTCCGGACATTGCCAAGAGTCCTCTGGGAGCACAGTAAACTGCTCTGCCCCAAACCAAGAACACTGGTGTAGACAAATCCAGAACTTTTTTGACATTTACGTGTCAGGAAATGGTAATGAAGCATCATAAAAAATAATCACTAGGTCCAAATAATCTTTTTTCTTTTTTCCTACTCCAGATGTTCATGATTAATCCCAATAATAGAAATAACTTCTATTAATATTCTTAGAGGTGAATGTTGGTTGGAAGAAATCTTGGCTAGTGGGAGGAGCTTAATTTTCATATAAGGGAACTGTGTTACTTAGATACATAAAAAAAAAAAAAAAACAAAACTCACTGCCATCGAGTCGTATCTGACTCAGCAACCCCTCCTTGGGTTCCTGAGGCAGTATCACTACGGAAGTAGATTGCCCAGTCTTCCTTCCAAGGAGTGGCTGGTGGGTTTGAACCAGCAGCCTTCTGGTTAGCAGTCAAATGCTTTAGGCATTCCGCCCCCAGAGCTCCCACTTGGATATGTAGTAAGTCTGTGCTGTACTATGGATTCTTTCAGTCTGTCTTGCAGATAATCAATCACAAAGGTATCAGCATTCTCAGAAAATCTTCTGACATACAGGAAACCCATCTAGTTGTCATCCAGTTGATTCTGACTGAGGCTAACTCCATGTGGGTCAGTCGAGCTGTGCTCCGTGAGGCTAACCTTTCAGAAGTAGACTGCCTGGCCTTTCTTGCGGAGCACCTCTGGGTAGACTCAGACCTCCAGCCTTGAGGTTGGCATCCTATTACATTACTCACTTGCACCACTCAGGGACTTGTCCAGAAGGTGGTCAGAAGTGGACACAATTTGAGCATTCTAATAGAGGCTTCCGATGATTTTTTGCCAGTTCCTCAATTTTTCTTTAAAGAGCCCAGGGGCAAGACCACTGATTTACGTTTATTATGTATAGGATACCCTGAGTTATACTATATGTATTTAATCTGGGAACATCGACTTGACAGTATTTTGAATAATTTTGTCATGGAACTTCAGCCTTAAGGTGTAATTGATTGGTTGGATTTAGGGAATGCCGTCTTCTAGATTGACTTTCCCAGATTCTAAAACAGCGTTGTTCATAAGAGTTCCGTTTCCTCCATCAACCCAATAAAATTATATTATAATTAAATTATATTATAATGAAAAAAAAATTAACATTCACTATTTTGATTTCCTTTTAGTAGCAGATGCAAATTCCTTATTCACTCATTTTATATAAATCTTCAGCTAAGAAAGGTACTGTCTTATTTTACAGCTGTTCAGTTACCCAAATAAAAACAAACCCATTGCCATTGAGTTGATTCTGACTCATAGTGACCCCCATTGGGTTTCCAAGGCTCTAAATCTTTATGGAAGTAGATTGCCTCGTCTTCCTCCCATGGAGCAAGGTAAACTTCTGGTTAGCAACCAAATGACTTACCCGCTGCACCACCAGAACTCCTGTTCACTTATCAGTGAGGCTCAAATTTTTTTTAATGTCCCCTCCCCCCACAGATTTTTATCTTTAAATCACTTAAACCAGAAAATGACTGTTTTTTTTTGTTGTTGTTGTTTTTAATTTAAGCAATGCCAGGAATGGAACTTAAGTGCTTGTAAGTGACATACGTATGTTCAGTTGAGGGGAAAGATAGAGAAAAATGATTATTGAAACCATCTTAGAATAACTTGAAATATTCAGTACAGATGTTTTGTCATCTGACCGCTAAACTGGTCACAATGTTTCTGAAAAAAAGCCAAATATTTTGTTTGTTTTTGTTTACATATATTATAAATATGTGTGGGTTTTTTTTCCCCATCTTTGTAGAGGAAGATGCTGAGGCAAGAAGTTAAATCACTTGCCAAGGTTACACAGCTAATAAATGGCAGAAGTAGAACCAAAGGAGAACTGGAGGCACATATTCTAAGCTGTTTACAGTGATAATAATGCTGAAATCTGAGATTGTGGCGACTTCAACCTTTCCCTGTCAAATGCTTCTGTTTTGTTTGATTTATGTAGTTTGTTTCATCTCCCAACCTGAAATCAGATTGCATTACCTACATTTTGTCATTATTTTATAGTTTAGTATTTTAAAAAATTATTCTAACACATAAACCCTTTATATTTGAAACATCGAACCTAACATCTCTTAAGATTTGACTACGTGAAAACATTGAAGTTTTGTCTATCCTAAAAATCAAAATATTATCTCTAACAAAAAACGATTATCCTCCAACAAATAAACAGGAACAGATAATTCATAAGACAACTTAAAATGGCCAGTAGACAAAAAAACAACTAAAAAATTGAGCCTCACTGATAAATGAACTTGGAAAATTATTGTTGTTAGGTGCCATCGAGGCAGTCTTGGTTCACAGTGAGCCTACATACAACAGAATGGAATACTGCCTGGTCTTCCTTCATCCTCACAATCCTTGTTATGCTTGACCCCCTGTGGTAGTCACTGTGTCAGTCTGCCTCACTGAGGGTCTTGCTCTTTTTTGCTGACCTTCTACCAACTGTGATACCCTTCGGCAGGGTCTCATCTCTCCTGATAACATGACCAGTTTCAAGAGACGAAGTCTCACCATCCTCACTTCTCAGGAGCATTCTGGCTGCACAATGGGAGAGTATAAGTAGCCTTTTTTAGCTGAAGATTTATTTTCAGTATCTTCTTTATTTTCTGTGAAAATACCCAATGGTTTTGAGAGTATGGTAAAAAGGGTCCACTCAATTACTGTTGTTGATCCTAGCATAAAGTGTCCCATTTTTCTGAAATGTCATCAAGCATGGTTCTCACGACCCTTAAAGATGTTTGTGCCTTTGATGTAGGAAGTATAAAAAGCAGGTTATAAACCTCTGTATGTAGTACAGTCTCTATTCTATTTTTAAATGCATTTACTTACTTACCACTTTGGAATTTTTTTGTTAGTTACATCTTTTGTTCAAGATTTTTATGATAAAAATTGTTTACAAAGTAAGTTTCTCATCAAACCTCGTGCAGTCAGGTGCTTTCTACACGCTATGGTAAGTGTTCCGGGAAGAGTATGTGCCAGCATTCTTCTAAGAACTTTACATGAACCCATGCTCATTCTTGATGACAGCTGTGTGAGGTCAGCTCTCTTGTGCCTTTGACACAGCCAGGATCACACAGCTAATGCTCCTACCTACTGTGCTGTCCTGTCTCACATAGAAAATGGCAGTCAGATTGATGTGAGATGACAAAACAAGGGGGCAGGGATGGGACTATGGGTCTGAAAGTAAAGGATGCTAGAAATATGAACTTTTTGTACCTAAGAAATGTCCCTAAGGCAACTGACTGCTAACCAGAAGGCTGGCAGTTCAAACCTACTAGCCACTCCTCAGAAGCAAGAATGGGCAATCTATCTCCATAGAGGTAACTGCCTTGGAAACCCAAGGAGGGGTTGCTATGAGTCAGAATTAACTCGATAGCAGTGAGTTTGGTTTTTTGTTATTATTATTGTTATAAAATGCAAGTGTTACCAACACGGTTGAAGTTACCATTGATGAGCATTTCCTGATCCTCATCCCAGTCCCATTCCTAATGGAGACCCTGGTCAGTAGTTTAGGGTGTTCCCTCAGACCTTTCCTGTGCATATATATGGATGAATCGGCACCTCTAGACTCTACGTAGTATGTAGTGGTGGTGGTGGTGGTTATATGCCATCGAGTTGGACCCAACTCATAACAACCATCCTTGGGTTTCCAAGGCAGTATCACTATGGAAGTAGATTGCCCCATCTTCCTTCCGAGGAGTGGCTGGTGAGTTTGAACCACCAGCCTTCTGATTAGCAGTCAGTTGCCTTAGACACTACACTACCAGAGCTCCCATAGTATGTAGTGGTGGTTTTTATTAAACATAAATGCATCTTCGTGTGTCTTTCTCTTTTTAGCTATAATCTAGAGAGCTTTCCTATCATCATCACATTACCTCATTTTTTTAAACTGCTCTGTAAAATTCTATCAGTTGGGATTTTGTTTATACTTTTATGTAAATGAACATTCAAAGTTATCCTTTATTTAAAAAAAAAGAAAAAAACTTACACAACTTAAACATAGGGTTATAGGAAATCTCAGATGAACTTTTAAAGGATTTGCTTTTTCAGGTCACATAGCAGATATGTTATCAGTAACTATCAATAAGTTGGAGCTCTGGTGTCTCAGTGCCTAAGGCATTTGAAAGCTAACCAGAGGTTGGCGGTTTAAACTCACCACCCACTCTGTGGGAGGAAGACTGGGCAATCTACTTCAGTAAAGATTTACCACCTTGGAAACCCAGTAAGGGTTCTGTGAGTCGGAATCGACTTGATGGCAGCGGGCTTGGTGTTTGGTTTTATCAATAAGTTGACAAAACCAAATAAAACCTGGCTGTGATCTGATCACATCTTGTTTGACTTTTTTTAGCAAATAAAATAATTATAGATAATTGTATGAATGTCTGTTTCTCTCCTGTATAAGCTTTTAGAGGGTAGGAATGTATTTTGTCCACTTTGTTTCTCCCCACAACCTATAGCAACTTGCATGTAGTAGACTATCAGTCCATCTTGATAGAATTGCGTAGAGAGTGATTATCTGGGGCAACATGCTTATATGCTGACAACAGAGGACAAGATAGGGTCACTGCACAAAGGGTGTGGGCAGTGTCCTCTGACCTCCTCTGACTTCAGGAGGAGAGACAGAATCACCGGCAGCACCAGCAGCCAAGGCCAGACATGCCGCCACCCTCTAATCTTTTTGCCAATTCTGACACCAACTCTCCCTCCCATAACATTCTGTTTCACTGCTGGGTTCAGTAATTTGTTGCAGTGGCCACACACAGCCCACAGATAACACTTAGATTATAGGGTTTATTAGGGAAGTAGCGGGCTGTAAATTCAGGATGAGAAACAACTCGGTATAGTTCTTTAATGAGGACAGCTTCTTCTCAGCCATGCCATAGGCACGCTTCTATCTGGCCTTGGCTTCTGCCTCCGCTCAGGCCGGTGTTACAAAGCTCTTTTAGTTTTTCCCAAAAAGTGCTCAGAGAGGCACTCCACTCTGCCAGCAAGCTTCCTGCCGGAAGGCACTCAGCATTCTTGCTCTGTAAGTTGGGAAGCCCACTGCTGTGTCTCATGCCAGTCTCTTGGTTGTGCCATGTCTGTTGCCACTGTCTCTCTGCCATCTTGGTGCAGGCATCTCAGGTCAAGAACACACTCCACTCCCAGTTCATCTTTCTTGATGGCAGTGAGAGCCCTCCTTTCTGCCTCATGAATGGTTCATTTTAAGCCTAGTGGGATGACATAACTGACCAATCACCATGTAAAGGTTCCATACACCTTATTTGCATGGTCCCACCCCCACAAGGGTGCCATATACCTTATTGACATTCCTGACAAGCTGCACCATTTCCTTGGTGGGCCACAAAGCATCTCATATTTACATAGTACCACCCAGTTCATCTGATGGGAGTGACAAAAGACCATGGCTAGAAGAGCCATGCCAGGTAATTCACCAAACCATCATCACTAGTGAGTGCTTGAGCCCCATATCTCATAAACTCAAGCAAATCAGAAGCTCAGCTCTCTACTTTTAAAAGCTTCCAGCCAAAAAAGGAAATGCTAAACAATAAAGTCAGAGTCGAAATATGAAGCAGAAAGATTAACTGACAAACTGTGACAAAAGAGAAATAATTGAATCTTCTGGTTAGTAATACTGTCCTAAAGTCTTGTCATTGGGCCAGGAACATGAAATGAGGTCATCCAAGCATAAGGTCAAGATGCTGAGTTGATGAAAGGTGTGGAATACATGTTTAAAATTGTAAAGTGAATTGGAAAGGTATAGGATAAGTTAGTTATTTCTTCATTTTACTTAAGAAGGAATCAGTAGATATTGTTTATGTTGATAAGTAAGAGATATAAAAATATTTTTTTAAAAATATATAACACCAGAAAAAAAAGCTTAATATTTTGCTGTAGGCCTACAGTAATTACTTGGCCTCAGAAGTTCTGTTAAAAGTGTTTGTTTTGTTACAAAGGCTTATGTTAGTTTGATCAAATGTGTTAAGCATAATGAATGAGCTTTCTCTTTTTAAGATGTAAGTGTAATTATATTTAGATTAATATGAGTAGCCACTATGAATTAAAGCTAGTCATAGCGTTGTTGATTTGTGTTAAACTGCTCTTCTTTGTTCTTACAGCTTCTAAGACCTCGGGAGAAAAAGTTGGGGCTAGGTAAGTAGACCCTTATCCCCTCTCATGCCTGCTCCTTGCCTTGGTAAGATTAGCCTTATATAGCCTTAGCATAGTTTCCCAGTTTGGAACAGGGCCAAAATATAGCCACCTATGCTTTTTAATGATCTTTATAACATGTAAATGGTTTGACCCAGGCTGCCTGTAATAGTCAGGCCACTCGGGAAAACAGAAACTACTATAAGCCTTTTCAGTGTAGGAAATTTAATACCAGGAATCTGGTTACATAGGTGAAGGAATTGCTGAGAAGCCAAATGGAATAGTGAGACTACTCAGAGATTAGTAACAGCTGGAGGCCACTGCCACCCCTAGGGAAGGAGCAGCAATGGAAAGAGATGGTGTTTGTGGAGCCCAGGAACTGGGGCTATTCCAGGGGAGTTGTAACCCTGGAGTGAGGAATACCCGGCAGAGATTAGAACCATGAAAGATAACCAACTGCTGCGGGGAGTCCCAGTAAGAGACTTTGCCCCTTCTCCCTCCCTGCATCTTCCCCCTGTAGTTTCCATCGGCTAAAGTTGTTAGGAAGCCGGTTTACAAGAGAATCTGGGACATGCAGTTCCCTGCAACACAGAACAGAATTGGGAAGGGCCAGAGAAATTCTGGAGCTGAGGGCCAACATTTTGGACTAGCCCTCCATCTTAGCTAATAATTGTGAGATGACAGTCTGAATAAGCCCACTCCTCACTTGTCGGCATGGTTAGGTTCCAAGACCAGGTCATTACACAGATATTGGTGTATTGTGGAAGCAGAGGATGGCTTTGTCATTCCATAACTGCCAACTTAGATCATTCCGTAATTGCCAAACCAGTGAGAATCGTGGCCCAACAAGGTTGACACACAACTTCAACCATCACAGCCAGCGTTACTTTCTCATACCTCAGCATTCATTACTGCCAACATGTGTTGTTAATGTGCAAAATAGTCAGATAGTAGATATTTTACTGTTGTCGTAAATGTGAAGTGTTGGATAACAAAATAGTTGATAAGTGAGGAATAGATGTACCTTTTTTTTCTGCTGCTGGTCACCTAAGGCATTTGACTGCTAACCAGAAGGCTGGAGGTTCAAACCCACCAGCCACTCCTTGGAAGGAAGGTTGGGCAATCTACTTCCATAGTGATACCGCCTCAGAAACCCAAGGGAGGGGTCGCTTTGAATTGGGTCTGACTCAACAGCAGTGAGTTTGTTTTTTTTTTTAGATTACTGGTCACAGTTGCTCATGTTGAGAAATTGGTATCATTTTAATCAAAAATTTGGGAGCTTGGTGGAAGCACATTTCTTAAAAGCTGAACATCTGCTATCCTACAAACCATCAGCTTATTGAATGATTAAAAAAATCTGACTCCAGAAGGTTCTTTAGGGTTGAAATGATCCAGGAACTACCATGAAAGCAGCTAAAAATTACCAGTGATACAACTAGTGTGGACAGATAATCACTACTTGACAAAAGAAGCTGGAAGAGTTTAGCCTGCTAGTGAGATCTGTTAGGGTTTTGGGGCAGGGATACAGATAATCCCCAAATCCTGCTCCTGACCAGTTACCCTTCCTTGCCAAGCCTCTGAGGAACCATTAGGCATAAAGTAGCAAAGTAGCTGTGAGCTGTGTCTTGGTTCCCAAATACCAGAGCAGACTCTGGTGTGCCAAGCTGACAGTATAAGAGATGCTTTCTGGGTAGCTTTTGTGGAGATAAACTTGGCATGTTGGAGAGTAGGAGCAGGGAGACTTGTTAGGTGGTGGTCCAGGTACCAGAAGATGGTACATGGGACTAAGGTGGAGACGAAAGAATAGAATCAAGAGATGTTTTAGATACAGAATCCATAGGACTTAATTTTAGTTTAGAAATAGGAGGTAAAGGCAGTGCAAAAACGGCAAGGAGGCCACATCTTCCGACCTCCTCTAATCCCACAAGAGGAAGACA